CGAAACAGTACTATTAAAGGTGCCTGTTTCCATGGTAACAAGCTTATTAGGGCCGCTCCAAGTTGCTTAATGCACTGAAATGGGGCTAAGCTCTGCCTGTATGGGACACTTGGCTTGAACACAACTTTTTTCCAGTTTAACCTGTTTCAGAAAAGCTTAAGAGCACACTGATATGTTTCGTTCCAGAAAATGTCCATACTCCTCACATAGAAGGGATTATAAATTCCTGGGGGAGGGAGGGGGGGTTAAAGAAATGTATGAAGTTTCATTGGCATTGCCAGAGGGGTAGGGGGAGATCTTATAAAAACAAAACCCTTCCGTGGAGGAAATATGGATATTATTTTATGGCGCTACACAATTCCAAAAAATATGTTCAAGTCAATATTAGTTGAGTAAAATTAAATCCCCCTTGTCTAAATCTTTAAGTAATGGCATTGTCCATTCATCATCATCCTCATCAATGTCATACTTTATAATGTACTCAGGATCTGGTCCAACAGTAACATCTTCAGCAAGGCGTAATACAGTTGCATTAAACCATTCTGCTTGCTCAGAACCATCCTCAATGCAGTTGTGAATTACCCTTTTTCCAACAAGGAGAAGAGGATTTTCTCGAAACTGGGGAAGCATTTTTTTGCTCCTGGTAATTAAAACCTTTTGACGGGCATCTCTTAGCTTCTTTGCAAGCTTGGCTTTCTCTTGGGACAAGGTTTTGGCCCGATCATCTGAACTCCGGTAGGTGAGTCCACCTTCATTTTCGGGCTCAGTTTCTTGAAAGCTGTTGAGTTCAAGAACTTCCAGTAAGTGTTTAGCAAGCTGCTCAACTGAAAACAGGACCCGTTTACCTGTCACAGTTTTTCCTTGCTGAAAGTCTTCTTTTGTCGGAGCTTCGCTTGAAGGACAACTTTCTGAAACTGGAGCTGTGTGACAAGTGCCTTTTGTCTCTCCTTTTCAGAGGCAAACTTCATCAGACCATCCTTAATGTCTTTTTCAGACTTCCATGGACCCCCCAACTCTGCAATGCCGTTTACTAGATTAAGTCTTTGCTGTCGCAATTTCCTTTCGGCTTCCTCCTTTGCTCTCTGTTTCTCTAACAACTTCTCCTTCCGTTGCTGGAAGATTTTCTCTTTTCTTTCCTTGTACCGTGCCAGAATTGCACCGGTATTTGCTCTGGCATCAGCCATGCACTTTTCTTTGTCTTCGGGTGACAGTGAATTAAGCCAAGCAGTAGTTTTATTGTTTGTCCACATTACAAGAGCTTCATGGGAAATCAATCTTGCTGCAGGCTTCAAATGCAAGAGTAAGTCAAAGACTCCAAAATCTCTCTCAGATGCCATGTTAGTTGCAGGAACATTTACTGCCTGTGCTAACTGCTCAGAAGATGGGGATGCATACTTTCCACCAGGGAGTTGATCTTGAGCTTGTCTTTCAAAGAGGATGATCCACGAGTTGAAAATGATCTCAAGGGCCTCTTGTGTCAATGTCTCCAATTGAACACTTTGTTCTTGAAAGAGGCTGTCGAATATGTCATCTCGGTGGATAGGAACGATATCTTCATCAAACAGAGTTGCTCCCTCCAGTAGTGGGGATGCATCCATGCTCCATTGTTCAAAGCACTCTTGCATTCGCTTCAAATGGGGATTGAGTTCAAGAACAGACGTTGCTGTCTCAGTTAATCTGAAAAAGGGGCCAGTGACAATTTTATCCAAAATTCCAAGGGCTCTAACTCCTGCTAAGTAGACAGGTTCTACAATGTCTTTAGCCACAAGCTGAAGTAAGCGATTTGGTGAAGGCCATTTGAAAAGGAAATCTTGAATATGGCTTTTATGGTAGAAAACAGCAGCAGAGTTGTAAAATATTATGTTGAAGTGATTCCCGATGAACTCAACCAGTTTGCTTTCCACGCCATTTTCAGAGAGATGCACATCAAAATACTCGGACACTCCAGCGGTCTGACTACCACGGGGATGAAAAGCTTCACATGCTGTTCTTGTTAGCCTACAGGAACCAGACTCATTTGAAGAAAGAAATGCTAATGGATTTCTGCCTTCTGTTGCAGCATGTTCAATTTTAAGGCTTTGTTTGCTTCCTTGCCAAGATTCACAAGTAAATGCAGTTTGCAATAAAAGTTTCCCATTTGGTCAAGGGATTTCTTTGAATCTTCACTGAGGTCTTCCCATTTCTCCACCACCTTTGGGAGTAATTCCTTTTGCAATTCTGTCAGTTGTTCATTAAAAGTGGCATTCGTTGGTCCTTGATCGGACATGGTGTTCTTAATGGATGTGACCAACTCTGCAACTTTATCCTCAACTGTTAGATTCTCACCACTGCTCAATGCTTGTGCAATTTCCTTAACTCTGTACTTAAATGAGTCCATTATGGCTTCTGTGTCTGACTTTCCCAACTCAAGAAGGCCCACTCAGTATGTCTGACAAGAGGGAGTTGTAATTTCAAAATCTTGGTAGTGACGATGATATTTAGTAGTACCATCTCCGTGGAGGGTGTTTCCAACTACCTGGGAAGGGTCAGCTTCTTCTAGCATAGCCCTCCCTAGCTGAACATCAGCAAGGTGTTTAGCCTCAACAAGTAGGCGAGAGTGGACGGCCTTGCTTGGAAGTCTTGACAAACTCTTACCGGTCAATTTTTTCAAAACAGTTCGTATTACTTCATTGACTTTGCTCATTGAAACATTCATGGCTAGCAGGTCCATGATTACTTCTCGCACTTCGTCAACATACTTGCCATCTTCAAATGTGCTGATTGTCTCATCCTCCAGCAAGCAAGTAAGCTGTTCTAATTCTTTGTTTTTTTCTTTTAACTCTTTAGCACATGATTCAAGCTTTAATATGTTTGCAGCATTATGTTCCTTTAGCAAATCAATTTCATTGGCCTGTGTGCTCTTTTGCTTTTTTATATGTGACACCTTCTTCTGTAAGCCAATTTTCTGCTGTTTTAGCTGTTCAACTTCACTCTTGGCTTGTTCACATTTTTCCTTGACTTCTGAAAGCTCAATTGAGATACTGCACTTTTCCACTTCAAGTTCAGAAATTCTTGATTTAAGATCATTAATCTTTGAATGTGCCCTTTTCTGCCTCTCGTTCACATTTCTAGGTGTATATGATGCTAGTTTCTCTTGAATCTCATTCAGCTTTTCTGATTGCTCATCGAACTGCTCTTGCAAACCTTTGAGATCTTGCTCAAAGGCATCCCTTTCATGTTTACGTTTTGCAGCTACACCAGCAATATTGTTTGTTATTGTATGCATGTGTTCAACAGTTGAAAAATATTCATACTGCAAAGCTGCTTGGTCATCAATCAAAGCATCATTCTCATCCATCAGTCTCTCACTAAAACTAAGCATTTTGCTGACAGATCTTTTTAGCCCCCTGTTTTCATCCTTAAGCTCTGCAATCTTTTTTGACTTTGGTGTTAGTGTTTCTCTCACCATTGGTGCATTTGAGCCAGGTAAATGAAACAAACTTTGCTTTAGCAATTCAAGTTCCTCTTTCTTTTTATTTTTACCAAGCTTTTGGACTTTTTTCATTAAATCATTGCATGATTTGTTCAGATTTTGAGTTGTCACACCACTCAAATACCTCTGCAGTTCCAGTGGAGTCAAAGCCGTTATCCATTGAAGCATTTGGTTGTCAGAATCCCTCTGTTTCCAGAGTTCCAGGATAAGACCATTAGTAAAGGACTCCCTGTCCAAAGGTTGCAGATCCCCATTCTTCAAGGCTGCCACATCCAAACCATTTCTTGCACAGTAAGGTCCCCCAAAAATGCTTTTGTTTAACAAAACATTATCTGTCAATGGAATTAAAAACATTCTTAAATCTCTGTTCTTATAATTGTCACACTTCAAAATTTGAGCACAAAGTAAAGATCACTGCTCAGTCATAAAACATTACTCAGACATATCAATAGGTAGCACCCAAAGCCCACAGATTTTCTCTTTGGTGGAATAATATACAAGCAGAATATTAAACAAAAGGATACCTATATACAATATTCCAATAATAATAGCGAATTCAAGCTGGGCATGAACATATTCAACACAGTTTACAGCTGCTGAATACAACAATCACCAAGCTTCTGCTCCAGCAGGAACATTGTTACATAACAGCCCGAGCAGCCAAAACTAGCACATTTCACTTTCCTTTATAATACTTGTATGTATAACTATAAGTGAAGCATAAAAAAATCTCAATAAAGCAAAGGAATATCTGCTTACCTACCGTTTTATTCAAATCCGAAAGGCTTGTTGAAGTTGATGGCCCCTGGCAAACTTGATCCTTGCTGTGCGCCATGACTTCTCAGTGCGCGTTTGAACTCACATATTATAACTCACTCTCCGGCGCATGAAAGCACGTCAAATTCGACTTATTTTTCGCTAAACAAAAACCTTAAAGGCTATAAAATACTACAGCTGTAGTTTAAACCGAATAATGATAAGAGATCTCTTCAAAAACCGCTTCTAATTCAGATAAACAACGATATTTCGTGAACTACGGACGTTTGAACAAAGAAACTACTGCCTGGGAGTCCCCTGACCCTTTAGCCCTATTGTTTCATACATTAGCTATTGTTTTTCAGCCAATAAGCACTGCGAAATCGAATTTTGCCTTCCCCGGGTCAGGTCTGGTTTTGTCAAGCATGGCGGCCACGCTTCAGTTGCGATCCCTGACGCCGAGTGACGGCGAAGTTGGATTATTAGCAATAGAAATACGGTACCAATCACGATGAAATTTATAAGTTTTATTCTCTAAGGTATCTTCTAAAGGTAGGTGGATTTTAATTGCAGAAGAATACAATATATTAACGAGAATAAACGGAAAGTTTGGGATCGGTAATGTTTTGGCTCGATTTTGCGTGGGGAAATCACGCGACTAAACTCCCTAATAGTTGTTCCACTCATGTTGGCGCTATTAACAATACTGTTAGTAATTCGGAGTTTATAACAACATGTCTACAGTAACAGTATGGTATATGGCTGTTACGAGATGAGATTTTCCTGCAGCAGCTCCTCCTGTAATGAACAGACGTATAGGTGGCAATTAGACTGGTCTTAAAGTGCCCATGTTTTTTATTTTGTTTCTACGCCAAAGTAGCACTATGTTGTATGCTTTACGTTGCTGAGAGTTTTATGATCTCACTGACTAGCGAAGATCATCATCACATATTTCTGACACTTGAATATAAGTTGACATTGCTCTGGGAATTTGTTCATTTGACGAAGAAAGTTGATCTCCTGACATCTGGTTATAAAAGGACTCTTCATAACTACTATTTGCAATATCAAATTGTACATCATAATTTTCCTGATCATTTATAGGATCGAATGAGTACGACGTTCTGATCTTACTTTTTCATAAAGACTCGAGTGCTTCTATAACAGCTTCTGAATCTTCGAATATATTTCTATTCCGTTGTACAATAGTTTGGACATCTGACACATTGAATTTAGACATGTAAGTTTTTTCTTCACCTAGAAGTTCTGTTTGTTGTCTCCATGGGTGGTAAAGAATAAGGAGATGGTGGAAATATTTTTCAGGTTCCTTTGCTTTATTTGGAGTGTGGTATCTTATGACAGCCCTAACTTTTCTACATTTCATAACTTCATTTGTGTTTTTCAAATTTTTTTAGGTACTACTGATGCATCATCATTTACACATACATGTGATTGTTCAATAATATCATCACCAAGAACTTCTGGCTGCACATCTACTGTTTCACAGTGATCGGTTTTGTAGTCACTACAATAGTAATCAGCAAACTCAGCTAGGCACAGATCATTTGTAGATTTAAAATGTGCTGGTCTTAAACTATATTGTTCAATGATGTTTGATTTATAGATATAAGTACTTTCATCGTCTAACTCATCAAGTTCTTGCTGACTCTTTGCTACTCGTAATCATTTATCTGAGAATTCGGTATTAACAAAAATAGTTTTTTGAAAAACTTTTCGTAGCCAAAGTTCAGGCATGCACCTATAAACACATTCCTGTGAACTTACTTCTCTTGAAGATAAGAAAGCAGCTCCAATTTTTCGAAGGACATCTCGAACATTTAGATTTATTTCTCTTGCTTGTTTTGAAGCATTCATGATAGCTTGTGAGCATTCCGTCTCATCTTTAGTAAAATATGAACAAGCATAGGTTATGCATTTATAGTGGTTGAAAACAGGCTGCAAGTCTAAACTGGCGGCAAATCCCTTCATGCCAGCAGCAAAGTAATTGTTAATAAAACAGCGGTCAGTTGGTCATCTGAGATGCAGGTCATAGTCGGAATCAGGTGATAAAGACAGATAAAGATATTGTTCCTTAGTAATTCCAAGTTCTTGAAATATGTCATCAAGGGTCAACATGGGATTGTAGTTTGCCTTGCTTGGATTGAGAGATTCATAAATTTTTTGTTTTACTAGACTTAGAATCTCCTTTCGTTTTGTCATAGTGTCAGTTTTTATCTGTGGATCCATATCTTCGGGATACCATGTTGAAAGGTTGCTAAATATTTATCCCTGAAACATCTGTAAGCTGATTTGAGGACGTGTATAAATATGTAATTGCTAGGCCAGATTTAATTTCCAGAAGATATAGAACCAGATCCTCTTCTGAAATCATGTTCAAGTTGTTGAGCGTACTCATAGGTCTGCGAGCTTCTCATTGTTGTGGGTGTGGTGAAAGAGAATTTTGACAATCCACTGAATGTTGCAAATGGAAACCCTTTGCATGAGTTTGCAAGAATTGCAATTTAATTTGCTGTTAGTCTGTTTGCCTTTGCTGTTACTATCTGGTTGCATGATGTACAGTACTATATGACAAGATGAGGACGCTTGGTATCAGGCATTTTCTCTCTGGCCACATCCTTCTGCTTTTTAAAGCACCAATATTTTAAATGCCCGTAACCCACAATAGTAGCAGCGTGGCCGCATGGAGACTGGACGCTTCTGGGGGCGGCCCTTAACCCTGGTGCCAAGGAGATAATCCAGCGTCGAGCTTCAAAGATTTATCCACTTTAACCCAAACATCGAAAACCTTTTCTTCGAGCAGAGCAATCATGTAATGCCTGAATTGTTTGGGTGAGGACAAGTCTTGTACTTTAAGAACTCATTTACTGCAGAAAAATGGGAAAATTTTTTGTGCTTCTTAGTGGATGCTGTGCCTTTGAGATTGGTGGGTAAATGCAAAGCTTCATCCATGAGGAAATCTTGCCCAGTTTTTACCATAATGGCTCTCAGCTGGGAGAGCACAGACTCCACAGTTGGTCGCAACATGTGAGCTTCTAACAGGGCAATGCAGTCTCTAAAAGCGACACGTTGATCTGACTGTGGAACCTACGAAGAAAACCACTGGCAGAAAAATTACATATCTGCATATGAGGGAAATCACAGCAAAGCAAATAGGCACTACTTGGCTACAAAAATGGTAAAAGGTGAAAAATCGGAAACCTTGAAGCAGACGTGTAAAAGAAACTCTCGTGTGATCCAGTCGGAAATTCCAAAGTGAATTATGGTGACTCTATGACAAAGGCCGAAGCCATTCGGAAATTCCAGACTCGATTATAGCGTCTACAATTTAACATACACTATAACGTGCGCCCAAAGGCAAAAAGACTCAAAGTCAATCTCGGCAAGTTAAAGCACACAGAAATACGGACCCATAGCTAATCAGAAAACCAGGCTCAATTAAAGCAGCTTGCAAACACTCTGACCAGGGCCTACTGTTGGTTCGATTAGAACGCATAGGGTAACAACGAGTGTGCTTTTACTACAACCATAAGTGCGAGTAACAAGATTTCTTATATGAATAAATTTACACAAGTGATGGCCTGGACTATAGTGGAAGACCGCAGACCATTTAATAATACTACATCCCCCTCCTTTTGTGGAAAAGATAGAAAACTAGATGCATTACTAATGTTGAACTGTTCAAGTTCCTCATAAAGAAAGAAAACTAAACAGTATATGCAATCATAAGTTCAGTCTTTCTGGAGCTTTAGTTCTCCTAGTTAATCTGCGGAGAGGAAAAGGAACTGCAACAGGAGGAGGGTCTGTTTGACCAGCAGAGGAACAGGGAACACTAGCACTGTCAGTGACGTAGAGGAACTGCTGGTCACGAGCTCTTCAGAATGTGTCACCAACTGGAATATCCTCAGGGACTTCATTTGAAGGAACTGGGAGTTCAAACGGCTCCTCAGTGCTTTGTAGGTGGCGACAATTTCTTCTGAGTACTTCACCAGTGCTATTAGCCACCAGGTAAGACCGGGAGGGCATCAGCTACATGGTGAACTACACTGGTTCCCATCTGTCATTGGCAGGGTTATGGATGCATACATGGTGTTCTGCGAAAAGTGGTTGAAGTGGCTGCTCGGCTGTTTAACTTACTGTGCCTTCTGCTTATTCTGTCTGAGTTGGAACTTGACATTAACGTTTCCATTAGAAGAGGAGGAAAGCTTAGATACTGCTGGAAGGTTTGTCTAATACACCCGGCCATTCAGAAGCTTGGCAGGCGATGGTAAGTCATGAGACAGTGGGGTGCTACGAAGACAAAGCGTTGGCAAGTGAGGGTCCTGGCCAGATTCCTTGCACTTTTGTAGAACATTTTTCACTGTCTGCATTGTCCTCTCAAGGCATTGGACTAAGGATACAAAGGGCTGGGGGCTTTTTTCTTTTTGTTTTTTTTGTTTGTTTGGTTTTTTTTTTGCCGGTAAGGCGGATTTTTTTTTTTCATTCAAGACATTTATTACTTTAATTACAAAGAACTAATTAAAAAGAAACTAATTACAATATTCTAAACAACCGCAATAACAGACATACTTACATTTATCTACATTTCACTATTATATACATTACAGCCACAAAACAGCTGCGCAATTGCTGAATGAGGCTTATTTTACAAACAATTAATGAATACTTAATTATGTAGATAAAAGAGAAATTAACACTTATTTAAAGTACACTGAAATAAAACAAAACCCCAAACACACATACAAAAACAAAAAAACAATACAGAAAAAAAAAGTGTCTAATAAAAGATTACAATTTTAATTACATACACGCGAACTTAATTAAAGGGGGGAAATGTCTTTTGGCCATTTTTCATAAAAGGTTTCTAATTTATTATTCTTAATGGAAATATATTTTTCAACTTGGTATTCAATTCTTACTTTAAATTTGAAACCTTCGATGTTTGGAAGTACCTGTTTCTTTCTGCAATCCCATAACTACAATTTACCTAATTTAAATAAATCTGCCGTTTGAGTTGTGTTTTATAAAAAAGAATATATTGTTTGGGATTAGTACTTTCCGGTGTTAAATGAAGCATTCAAAAAGAGTGAAACAAAAGACATTTTCTCCTCCAACTGAGAAAATAATAAAACAAAACAGAACACATAGTATATTTACATATAAGCTGACATTAAACAAAATTCTTAACATCTAATGGACGTGGATTCACTGTTCAGTTTGAAATCGATCATGGAATTAATACATTAATAATTTTTTGCCATTTTACAATAATAGGGAAGGTCTTTAGTTTCTTTTCCTCTGTATATTTGGCCATTGATAATCAATTTATCAAAATTAAAGAAGGCTTTTTGCTTATCCTGCTTGGCCTTTTTAAGCACTGGATAAAGTTTTCCATGAATTTCTTCAATTTCTTTCGGGAAATCATCTGAGAAACCAATGTTGGTTCCTTTTAAGTTTTTATAGAAGGAGTGAACATATTCTTTGTCCTGATAATGACTGAAACGAGTAATAATTGGTTTGGGATAGGACGGTGCTCTTAGACTAGTATTATTAGTGGAGATTTGGTGAACTCGCTCAAAGTGGAAATCGTTGACTTTATCCGCCGGAATTTTCAAATTAGCGACGAAGACACTTCTTACCAGCTCTTCAGTATTTTCATCCTCTTCTTCCCCGACATTGAAAATTCTTACATTCTCACGTCTTGTATAGGCTTCCAACTTGATGTTTTTGCGTCTTAGCGCTCCAATGTCCTCG